CAGGTTGTTTTCTTCTAAAAAACGGTGTTGGTGATCCGTATATCGTACGAAAAATCTTCAATTGATAGGTATTAAATAGTTTTTGTATAGCCATAATGCAATTTATCACTGAGAAAACTATTCTTACTTGGCGATCTATTCGTAAGAGTCGATTTCGATTGATCGATTAATTATCTCCATGATTGGGTGTGGGTATAGATTAGTAGAAGAACCACACCCACACTTCAGCGCGATAGAGGGAGAGAGATCTCCTTTTATTCTTATGTTTTCCCTTCTAGTTAATATTCCTGCTGATGCTAAATGGACACAGAACGGAGTGACTATTGCTGGAGGTAACGGGGCTGGAAGTGCCTCTAATCAACTCAACTTGCCTTTTGGTCTCTTCGTTGATGATGAGCAAACAGTGGTTATTGCTGACTACGTGAATAATCGTATCATGGAATGGAAGAACGGTGATACAACGAATGGACAAGTTGTTGCTGGTGATAAAGGCGCAGGAAAAGGATTAAATCAATTGAATCGTCCAACTGATGTATTAATTGACAAAGAGACTGATAGTCTCATTACTTGTGACCCAGGGAATCGACGAGTTGTACGATCGTCTCGTCGTAGTGGTACAACACACGGTGAAATACTCATCGACAACATCGCCTGTTGGGGATTAGCAATGGATGAACAGAGATATCTCTACGTCTCTGACTTCGAAAAAGAGGAAGTAAGACGATATACATTCGGTGATAACCGTGGCACTCTCGTAGCTGGTGGTAATGGTAAAGGTGATGGACTCAATCAGCTCTACTTGCCGACATTTGTCTTTGTCGATCGACAACAAAATGTCTACGTATCAGACTTCTTCAATAATCGTGTAATGAAATGGGTGGAAGGTGCAAAAGAAGGTATTGTGGTCGCTGGAGGACAAGGCGCAGGGAGTGCTCTGACACAATTGTCTTCTCCTCTCGAAGTCTTCGTTGATACGTTGGGGAGACTCTATGTAGTAGACCAAGGGAATCAGCGTGTAATACGTTGGGCTCAAGGAGACAAGAAACAAGGCACTGTAATTGTGGGTGGAAATGGTTGGGGAGCAGGAGCAAATCAGTTGAGCGGTCCCATTGGTTTGTCTTTCGATCGACATGGTAATCTCTATGTCGCCGATACATTTAATAGTCGTGTTCAACGATTTTCTATCGAAAAAGACTGCTGAGTTGTTTTCTCTTTGTTCGTTTCTTTTTCTATACTTTGAAATGAATGAACAAAAAAAGCAATTTCCTTTTACCCTTTCACTTCAACAAAAAGAAAAAAGTTAAAATATAAGATTACGTCACATGTTTCTTTTCTTGTTCTTTTATTTATTTGTTAAATGAAAAGAAATGAATTAAATAAAAGATTTTGTTTTCTTTCGCAAAATATTTATTCTTGACATGAAAATTAATTTGCTACTTTGAAAATATTTTATTGCTGAAAAGAAAATTTGTATTATTTAAATGAAAAAGAAAATTTGAATTATTTAAACAAAAAGAAAATTTGTATTATTTTGAAAATAATTTATTGGTAAAATGAAAAAAATTTGTTAGTAAAATAAAATAATTTAGTAGTAACATTTATTTATTTATTAGTGAAATGAAATAAAAGTTGTGTTATTTTTACAAATTTATTCCAGAAATGAAAAAGAAAAATTTTGTATTATTCAAATGAAAATTTGTATGTTTTTGAAAATATTTATTGATAAAATAAAATAATTTATAAGTGAAAATAAAATTTGTTTTATTTTCACAAAATATTTATTATTGAAATGAAAAGAAAATAATTTGAGTTATTTGAGTAAAGTTTATTTTAAAAATCAAAAAACTTAAATTACATAAAGATTAAACAACAAGAATCGAAAATTTATATACTTACATTTGCGTTCGTTTGAATTGAATTGAATTGTTTGTTCAATGGAACTAAAACATAAAAAGTAACAATTAATTAATTTTATTTGTTTGGAATAAGAAAATAAGTGAAAGAAATTATATTTACTTTGCTGCTGAAGAAATCGAAATGAACTAAAACGAAACAAGCAGAAATGAATTTGATTTTGCTTACCAGCTAATAGTTGCTCGCGCGACCAAGAACTGCCTTGGTGGTGCCATAGAGAGCCAAGGCTCTTCACGTACAGACATAGATCTAGCGTGTATAGAACATGCAACAGGAAGATCTATATGCGGCCTGTGCGTACTATGGGCATCAAAGTAGACTTGGCCAGTTTCACGCCGATGTATGGAAGGCCTCCATAGGACGTAAAATAATATAGATATATACAAAAAGTTATACTTACTCTTTTGAATCACTCTAATAGAAAATAGCAAAAGTAAAATTGAGACTAAAATAGATAATAGAAAGACAATTATAATTAAATTAAAATTAAAATAAATGGGATAAAAAGCTGAAACAATGAAAAAATAAACTAAAACTAATACTTACCTCTGATATTGAACCATGATCGGTACGAATAACAAGCTAAAATAGTGAAATAATAAAATAAACATGTAATATAGTAAGAAGAGAAAGAAAGATGGGGAATGATTTCTAACATTGAAAATCGTTACTATTTATAGTCATTTTTTTTATTCGCAAGAAATAGACAATTGGTAAGCAATCAACATCAAATGAATTTCATTTCTGTTTGTAAAATTTAACCTCCTGCTCACTACATAGAGTGGTCTTTTGATGGTTTAATTGACTGTTGTGCAAGCGATCGTAAAGATCACAAGCATTCCTAAAAGTGACAAAAAAACAAATCTTGTTATATTCACTAGACCGCTAATTGATCTTTTATGTTGTCGTGTTACATCGTATATGCACCGACAACATTTATTGACGATCTTTTATCTTTNGTTTTTCAATAATGTTCATTATTGAAAGTATCGAAAAAAATATTTTAATCAGTAAAATGATCTCTAATCGCTGTTAGATCCAAAATCTCAATGAGAAAACATTTTGTTCTTCAACATTATAGTAAATCAAAATGAATAGTTACAAGTATTGTAGTTAAATGTGTTTGATTTAATGTAATCGTCATACAATAATCAATTCGTATCAACACTAACACTATAGTCAAATGAAATAAGTGTGAGTAGTCCATATCGTTTTCGTATTCACATTATTCATAAATATGTAGATATCTAAAATTATTTGATTTATCCTCTAATTAGATTTCAATTTAGTTAGACGTTGTGAATTACTGCATATGAAGAGTACGGTTATTTTATTGCAGTTATATAATATGCTTTTCATCAATGAATATCATTTATTATTGTAATGCCTACAAATTGAAAATTACGCTTGATTGATGACTGCAAGGTTGATCGTAAAAATTACCACAGAAGGACATCTCAATCTATCAGCTTCATTTTTGCAGCTTCTGACGAGAAGTTTCTAGATAAAAACGTAGTATAATCTTCGTGAAGCGACTCATTGTGTTTTTCATTGTGAAAAAGAATATTTTTTTTATCTATTTACTGGTTTTTCCGTATTATGATATCTCAGTGTCGAGAAGTAAGTCGTCCGAAACAGAGTATATACGAGAGAGTATATTCTTAAATAAGTTTGTTGATTCATTAGAAATATTTTCTTTTATTCGTGAAGTTTTGATTATTCAGTATCATTTAACATAGAAGAGACTAAACTATATGACATGTACTCTGTCATTCTCATGATATGGATTTGAATCAATTAGTTGAATTTCAGTACTATCATCAAATTTAACTGTTTTTGTTTTCCTTTTAGTTTTTTCATTAGGTTTTGTTTTTCGGTAAATCTAGACAATATAAGCACATTATTTTTATTGTCCATGGTATGATCAGCATCGAAATAGACTTTCTATTTTAGAAGAAATTAAATATTTTCATTCTCCGTTAAAAAATATAAATGCTCAATAATGACGGATAAAACTGGAAAAACACAATCAGTGTTAGCATACACATACCCACGGAAAAAAAATTATACAAAACCGCGGTTTGATCCGAGAAAACCGCGGTATTATTTTGATCCCATTTAAAACCGCGGTTATCAGCGGTTTTCCAAACCTCGGTGTACTGGATAATAACCGCGGTTCTGAATATAGCGGTTATTAACGGTTTTCCAAACCGCGATGTACTCGAAAATAACCGCGGTTCTGAAAACTGCGGTTGGTATGTGAGGAACCGCGGTGCATACCAAAGTGTCAAGGAATGTTTAAGGACATTCGAGATGTCGTGCCCCACAAATTCTGGCAAATTTTACTTATATCACACACATAATATAAGGACTCTACAGAGACACTTTGTGGAAATGGAGCTCGGAAGAGTTCACTACACTGCCCCTCGAAGGGCGCTACACCTGAAACTTTCAAGGTACAGGTTATGTTCGGTGCACCTGCTCCTATTGAGTCTAGTGTATCGAAAAAAAACGCGGTTTGAAGCGGTTTTTGGATATAACGGTAGTCAGACTATTTATGCATTTCAAAAAGACCACCCAAAACGACGTTGTTCGAAACCACGGTTTTTATCTGTTTTCCAAACCGCGGGATTCAGACCATTTATGCCTTTCAAAAATACCGCCTGAAACCACGGTTTACAACGGTTTTCAAAACCGCGAAAGTCAGACCATCTATGCGTATCTCTAAAACCGCTGAAAACCGCGGTTATGGACGGTGTTAGAGATACGCATAGATGGTCTGACTTTCGCTATTCGAAAATACCGGCCGAAACTGCGGTTTTTGTGACCGGTGATTACCGCGGCGTTTTGAAAAAATTTTCTCCGTGGGTAGTTGTGAAGAATCAGCTGGCAAAAAAGAAGTCCATTCATTTATATTCTCTCGAGTTTATTGAATATTGAGAGTGCTACTCATCGAAAAGTGATATGCGGGAAAACGTAATGTGATTTTATAGTGTGCATAAACAGATCGTTCTCATTGGAAAAGATGACATCAGCAACCTATTCATCATCTTAATTTTCAAAAGAAAAAGGAGAATTTTAGAAAAAAATGAGTTTGTCTTTTGCAACATGGTATTTGAATACAAATTATTTAGCATATATTCGTACAATTTCGTTGTCGCAACACGTATTTAATCTGTATAGATCATTTACCTTTTGATAAGTTGTAACGAGCAAGTTTATTCGTGGAGATGCAGAGTACGAAATCATTTTTCTCTCAACTCTTTTCATATCAGAAAAATTACTTATTACAAACTTACCAAGCAGTAAATAATCTCTACGGGTCAAAATACATGTTGCGATGAAGAAAATATGCAGGTTGGTCGCAACATCGACTTGCCAGAGTAACGCTTTCATTTATAAATCCAGATAAATTGTGAGAGATAGTGTTGAATAGAGAAACATTCGCGCGACAAAAACCTCGACTGTTGATGTGCACTCATATATGAAGTTAGCAGACTCAATGTTTCATTCACAAGAAGGAACGATAATGTGATTTTCTCATAACATAGTTTTTTATAATCACCAGAAAAATAAATCATGTATCCAGGTGAAAAAATGTCATTTGAGTTTTTCTGATGCTAAATCAATCAACTTGCTGACTATAATCATCGAAATTTTCACAACGTCGAGCGTTTAGTAAACGTGAACTACATTGGATATTTGCTGAAATAATGCGTGCTATGGAAATTGAGAATTTTGTTGACCATTCAATAATAATGACAAGGATATATTCAGATCGTGGATCAAAATAGTTTATGAGTTGATTAAGCTAAATGATCAAATAAAAAATTTCGTATGTTAATTCAAGTATATATATATACATCTGCACATGAATTATTGGATGATAAGATTGTAATGTTTGAATAACGAACGTTTCACTAGAATAAATTCTCGAAATAGCTATTTGGAAAGATACGGAATACGAATCAAAGCTACATATATTATATATGCCACACTGAAAGTAAATAGTATGTTGTATATTTAAATATTATCATAAGCATGATTTTATTACTATCACGAATTTTCCCACTATCAGTTGAAAGAACGACTGCACATAGTTTATCATAAACATGCATTGTTCGTGGTCCAACTGTAGCAAGTAAACCTAGGTCAGCGCAAGTTCCAAAGGAACGTTCTTTTGTAAAGTAAACTCACTCATTTGAATATCATCGTCAATATCTCTATACAAAACCTAATATCTCTTGATTCAATGAACATTTAGAAATAATACGAATACTTTTCTCCGTTAAACCATTCTGTGTAGTTGCATGTTGTTCATGAACTTGCGTATCTTCAATTTGAATAGCAACATTAGCAGTATCGGGTAATTTAGCACGTAAACATTGACCTTCCATAAGTGATGTACTAGTATGAATTAAAACAGTTTGAATTCACATTTTCTTCTCCAGCATCTGAACGTTCGCTATTCACATTGTAGACAACTAATCAACTATCTAAAATTTGATTAACATATTAATATGTCATAGATATTTCAGCAAGTCGATTTTGAATCAAATGTGTTGCATGTTGTAGAACTGAATAAAATATAAGCATTCCTTCAACGGAACGAAAAATAACTTGGCTCATGTAAGACAGAATAATATTTAATACGCACTATACAACCTTTACTACTACTACTGGTCTAGATAGAAACGACAGAATGAATTTCACCTCAAAAGCATAACCATGTGAGCAATTGCTAATGATTTCGTAACCATTGTCTGTGCTAGACCAGGAATTTCTTTTTTAGTAACTTAACTCGTCACCTAAAGCAAAAGTGAGTTTATTAAATAATAAAAGTACAAGCACACATACTTCTGGTGTAATATCATCTAGGCTGATTTCCCATTTCACCAGTTATCAATATTAAATTCGGTCGTAATTCATCACACGATTTCAACAATATCTCCTAGAATTAAAAAATAAACCAGATCAACCTATCATTTAAAAGATAAAAACTACATACCTTGACATGCAGCTGGTCCTGAATGATCTTTTTTTGGATCATCATAACCAGGAATACTCACTGGAACAAACTAAAATATATTTATAATCGATTATTCGTTTGATTTAAGGAATAAATATGTGAAATAAATTCATTTATGTGATAAAGTTACTGAAAATATATAAATATTTGACCATAGGAGAAATAAATAAGTTCTTATCAAGCACGCATACATGATCATTGAGTTCTTCTAAACAAAAACAAACATAAGAATAAAACATAGTTGATTCTATAACATACGAAATCGATCCTGTAATTTTTGTGTTTTCCTTTTTCAACCATGCAACATGTTCTTCATCAAATGAGGATGCCAGTAAATTTGCATTTAATTTAGATAATACTTTCTTGTTGCATACATTTTAAATCGTCAACGTCGCGTCACGTCAAAATTCTTCTTTATTCATATAATTTGTTTCTAACGATTCAAAACCGGATAGAACTTCAATGATACCTGATTTTATCTACATATATGAAAATCATGATAGAATTGAATTTATTTGAGAGGAAAAAGAAATCACCTGTTCAAATTTTCAATTCCTATTGGAGCTTATTTTACACAGTCATTTTCAACAATCGATGTTGCTTCGCCAGTAATAACATTCAAATAAAAATCAACAGTAGACAGTGGTAGTCGAGATACTGTATTTTTATATATACTAAGTAATATTTGAGGGTGCGGGTGTGGGCAGATTCAAAGAAAAATTTCGAGAACAAAAGTACCGCATCGTCATAAAAGAAAACCATATCTATTTTTTTTCTATATCAATTGATAGAAAAAGATGAATTCTTTGTCTATTAAATTAATAAGTGATTTCGTCACTACGAAAGTAAGATGAAGCTTATGAAGATCGAATCGATTAACTGTAGATTCTAGATAAAAACAAACTGATGGAAAAGTATCTTCTATTCTATTAGCCCTTATATTGGAATCGGAAAGCAAGAAACTGTTTCACTGCCATCAATAAATCATTACAGCGTATCATTCTATCAGCTGAGTTAAGTTCCTGAGTTCCATGAAGATTGAAAGAAAGGCAGTCTCTACCTGTTGACTCAGATAAGTAGTAGTGTATATTTACCGATTAAAGTGGAGTCTCTGTTATTTGTTGATTATGACAGAAAGTTTTAAAATAGTTAATAGATATTTCTTTATTGGTATCGTTTGATTATAGGAAATCCTTCATCATAATTCTATATAAAATATATCTAATATTTCGATGATCTTAAAAGATTTGTTTATTATCGGAGTAATAAAATAAATTTAATGAGTTCTAAAAGAAAAACGAAATTCAAAACTATTTTTGAAAATATTCTCATCTTAGTTACTTCTTCAATAGCATATTTCTTTCAGAAGAACTTTAAAAAAAGTCAGGCATAACCAAGAAGAGCAAGAAAATAAAATGCTTTCATACAGAAAAAAAAGTATAGAGATACTTCCACGCTCGCCGCCGAATGTACTGAAGATTTCAACTTAGAAAAATATTTTCAGGAATCAAGAATGAAAGAAGAAAATAGAACGAACGTAGAATATCTTAGGTCATGATTCGAGTTTTTCCTAAATGGATCCGATTAAAGCAGTGATCAACTTAGATTTCCTGCTCTCAGAGTAAATATTGATACGATTTACCAGATGCATATATTTCCTTTCTTCGACAATAGTAAATTCTTCGTATATGTGTATCATTAGTTTATATCTAGACTATGAAAAATGGAGCAAGTTTTAATGCAAAATACGACACTGTGTGCATTGCTCACTGATAAATTAAATGAACAGTAGTATTTCACAGAGAGACTTCGAATAAACGAACGTTTCACCACTCTTTAGGAATAATACTCTGTATCTATAGTTTGCAAAGATATAAAACAACATCATTAATCGTTCCGTTGCTGTAATGGTATTATACTTTATTTTGCTCCTTCTCAAAACATACTATCGTCTCGTTTACATGAAAAACGCACGTTTACAGGCACAGTCATGATTCATAATAGAAGGAGAATAAGCTTGTTCACAATGCACAGTAACACAAAAAGAACGATGAAGGACATTGATCAATAAAGATGATAAACTAAGGTTAAATATCACGTAAAAACAATCAATTTCAACCTATCTAGGGAAGTAGAGTAGTATCCAATGGATTCCATCGGAAACGTTATAGTTCAGTGGTCGTAACAACATAGATATTTTGCTTTAGAAATGAGTAAAATTCTCACATAAAATATATTATTATGTAGTACTTTTTTACAAGATTTCCAATGTTGCATCTCATATTTGTTTTGCAAAACATTTTCAATATTGAAGTAGAAACAATGATATTGTCAAATGTTCTAAATGACACCGGTCATTTTTCATCCACATAATACGAAGTTCACTTGAAAAGTGAAATATTTATATGATTACAAGTAACACTCGCCTCTGGACTCGCTCAGCTCTTTCTCGTAGAGATAGTGCATTCTGAATCTTAGCTTTTGCAGAATTTTGTTGCAACAGTAATCTCAAGTATTTCCTGGAATCTTTGATATCCATCAACTTGATTTTTTAGCGTTAGCTTTTTTAGTATAATAAATCGTGAGTGGAGTATATCTATGCGTTGAAAGCCTCGTCTTGCTTTCTCGCTCATTTTCGCTCAAAGGAAACTTATGAAAAGAAAAGTGAAACGGTATTATGAGCGAGATTAACACATAATTTTCAACCAAGTCAAAAAGACACTGTTTCATGGAAATCTGTGCTGTAAAGAGTAGCTCTCTGACTCATCTACTTGAATTTAAACTAGAAAGTTTTCTCATCTTGATACAACACATTGATTTCGTTTATCATCTTGCATGGTAAGCCACGAATATATTTGATCTTTATCAAACTTTTATTATTGGCTTTCTAACAATTTCGTGGTGGGCAAACTATGAGTCATCGAACTTTAACTTTCAAGGTTGTATTCAGAGGTTGAAGATGGGTCTACACAACTTGGTCGAAAATTTTGTAATTGAAGAACAAAATCTGTTTTTTTTAAAGCAGCCCGAACTGTGTAGTGTAAAGCTGAAACTAGCACTAATTGCATTATCATGTTAATATTAGAGGAAAATAGTGATTCGGACGAATAAATTAGCCATGCAAAATAAACGAAAAGTAGTTTAGAACTTACGAAGAAGACTTTCTAATTATTTTAGTAACGTTGCCTATTTTGAGAGCACGGTGACCACCTTAACCACACCTACACCCTATTCTCGTTCAGTATCTCTTATGAGATGCCACATTACAGTCTTCCCCTACAAAGAGGTTCTGAGATGTTATCGTTTGGCAATAACTTCATATTTGGATCGCTTGTAAGGATAAAATCTAATTCAAACGGTATTCTTATTTATAGGTTTCAATCCGAATGTTTCAAAACGACAGAATAGACTTCTCATGAACCTTTGGTTTATTAAAAGAATCAAATTAAATGTTAAAAACTCTCTCGAACTAAGCAATATATTACTTATGAAACTGTCAATGAGATTTTTAGTAATTGAATCTAAATAAAAGGCCATCCAACAATCCACATCCAGATATACACAATAGCTAATACGTTGGATACACTTATCACTACATAGAGACATGGAGAATAGCATTGTTGCCCATGTCGAATAGAACGGTCCGTAAACGGCCCTAAACGACTGAAAACGGCGAAAAATGGTGTGCGTTACGATGACCAGCGACGAAGTACCGGAAAACGATGTGATACGGCGAAAAACGGTGGCCTTTTAGCTGACGTTTTCCGAGTTGTCGCAAACGACTACCTTCTAAGACGAACGTTTTTTACCGTTTTGCTTCTGTTTTATTTGGAGATAGAAATATGGGTAAAATACATACTTAGACACTGCCGTTCAACCTATTGTATTCATTTTCTTTTATTTATTTATTTTTATTTTATATTCTTTTATTTTAGATTATTCTATTTATTTTATTTTTATTTTTATTTTATTTTATTTTATTTTATTTATATTTTAGATTATTCTATTTATTTTATTTTTATTGTATTTTATTTTATTTTATATTTTAGATTATTCTATTTATTTTATTTTTATTGTATTTAATTTTATTTTATATTTAGATTATTCTATTTATTTTATTTGTTTTATTCTATTTAATTTTGTTTATTTTAGTCTATTTAATTTTATTTATTTAGTTTTTTTTGATTTGTGTTTGTTGTTTTATTGATTTTATTGTACTTAGTTTTCTTAATTTTAATTATATTTTATTGTATTTTATTTTGAGGAATAAAATATAAATGACCAACGTAACACTCAATTTTAACGGTCAAAATCGACGAGATTGAGACGATAAAGGGTGAAATTAGAGTCCTTTTATCTCTCGACCTTTTTCATCGGAAACGGCCTTAAACGGCGCCGCTAACGTTCCGAGGAAAAACGGTCCGTAATCCGAGCTGACGGAAAACGGCTGAAAAACGGTGAAAAATGGCGGTCGTTTTTCATCGTTTAGGGCATTAATTACGCCGTTTCTTGACCGTTTCAGGTAGTTTAATGCCATTTTTCAGGCGGTCTGAATGATGGACCTGGGTGAATTCTTACGCCAAAACTTGTATGATTGTTTATTATTTATCAAACATGGTTACCCATGTCAGTAGAGGATTAGCGACGCTTACGTCACGTTACATGTAATTTTTCCTTACTTTTCAGAAGATCTGGCCACCCTGCATGGGACATCTCAATTATCATATATCC